AACTGAAGCATGAACTTTACTCGTTTTGGTTTGGAGCGGAAGGTTTAATCACCCTTGAGGCGACAAAGAAACCGGTATTGAGCCATAAAAAGTACGTGAGAGTCTAACACTTCCAGATGCTATCGCATGTGTCCTATGACGAGAAGGAACGGGTAATCGGCTAATAGTAGCATCAGCACTCAAAGAGATTCTTCAATACGGAGCTGAAAAGGAACAACGTTGCTGAATGACCAAGTCTTCTCAGACTGAATCCCAGGTGACCTGCCAAGATTCTAGTAGCGCTTAAGTGTGTTTCTTCACTGACCCTCTATCTATGCTGAGTCTTGCGCTTCAAGCTCTAAGCCTGCGAAAGGCTCGCGACAAGCTCATCTTTGCAGACACTGCCCTGCACATCGGTGACACCGCACAAGTCGCCTTGCCCCGGCGACACAAATCCTACTGGGATTTTCAAAATAACCTGGAAAGGACTGTACTATACCTAGCGTTCCTTGTGCTGCCTTGACGGTGTTGCTGTTGCTATTATGAAGCGTACATTACCACCGCTCTTACACGTGCCTCTACCCTTGCTAGCACTGCTGCCATTGCAGGTGATATTGTGCTGCACTTCATGCTAGAATTCCAGCATTCTGATTCCGGGACTAAGGTTCAAGCTTTTGAGGTTAAGAAAATTGAGAGTTTCAGTCTTAGCATTTACGCGTGGTGTTTGCAGATTGGTGTGCCTGCTGCCTTGAGATGTTGGGATTGCATCTTCAGCCCTCGGGTCGGGAGCTCCTGCGAAGTTCATCCTTCGGTTTTGGCACACGACTTGGGAAGTTGGGGTTTGGGGGCGTTTGGGGTTTAGGGTTTAGGGAGGTAGGGTTTTTGGGTTTTGGATGAGTCGGGGTTTGGGGATGTAGGGTTTTTGATTTCACGGCCACTTTCTCACTGTTTTCCCGCAAACCAAAGGCGATCTGCTGTTCAGAATCGCCATTGCTTTCGTGTGGCTACAGGAGTCTGCCTATTCCAATCTCATAAGTTACATGAATAATAAGACGCAGGAGGTATACGCCGGCATTGCTGTGGATTGTAGGTTCGTTGAAAAGTAGGAGGCGGCGAGCAGTGCGGAGTAGCCACCTGCCTTTTAAAACAATCGACACTAGATTGCCCTTAATCAGCCAAATAGCACGATTCTCTGCCAAATGGCTGACTGGCTTTGCTCGACCAAGCGCCTCGTAGCTTCGACAGAAGCACCCTGACTACACCTGTAGGGATCTTACAAGCATTCACTCTGTCATTTTTGCAGATAGCTTATTTGCACAGGGCTGTGAGGAGCACACGTTTGCAGTTGCTTTTGCAGAAGTATATCTTACGCAAATCTGTTGCTGCGACACTGGTGCCACAAACCGTTCCCCGGATATGCTTTAGCACTTTAGCATGACAGTTGCGACACGCACTAGTATACTACAATTACTACAACATATAGTTGGTCGTATACTATAGTACAGTATACTTAACGAGAGAAGGACCACTTGGTCAAGAGGATATCTCTTGAAAAAATGTGGCGGCGGCCACAACCCACAGGCTGCTAGAAGACCTGGTATTCTTGGATCCTTACAGGAAGATGCTGAAAGGGGGGTAGGGCGGGTAAGGTGTTAGGGATCCTTGGGGAACTTCGGGGAGTGTGCCGTTACATACCATACTGGAAACTGAGGAAAACGAGCTGAATGTTCATAGTAAACGGGCTTCGGTTGAACATGTTGGCAGAAGAGGAGATCACTGCCGGATTTAGCAAGACTTGCAGAAGGTCACCATACTTGCCCACGCCCAGACGGTAGATCGCAACTTTGAAGATACATGTCGGGCCGGTACAGCGAGACCAATCTTGTTGTCGAGGACAGCCGTAGCGGCCGCTAATTGGTGTGCATGTTTGCGCATACCCTCATGTTTTTACAAGCCCATGCTGGATCACACTGATGGATTTCGGCAAGGTAAAAAGTCAGGACGAGCAAAGGAGGGTGGGGCAGGGTGTTGCAAACTGTCATGCGACAACAATGGATGCTCTAATCTTGCCAGCTCAGGGGCCTGACTTTTTTCTGATCTCGGTGGCTCCGGAGCCCCAGCTTTTTTGCAGGTACGTTTTCACCCCACATCACCTGGTTTTCGTTGGCCAGGACAGGTGACTGTGGGTGTCTGGCCCCCTGCACAGGAGAACCATGGACATGAAAACAAAAGTCATCACTGAGCCAGAAAATCGGAGAAAACTGGAAAAGACATGACGAAAAACATGCACATCTGCTCAGGTTTGTCGCATGTACAGCAGAGTACACAAACAGGAATTCAGTGGGTCCAGGTCGGATTGTGGATCTCAAGTTCCGGATCTGGGGGATGTTCCAAATGGCCCGGCCGTGGGGACCTAGTCCGAATAAGCTGCTGTCAATGCAGGTAGCCTGGCCCAGAAGAAGCCTAAACCCGAAACCCCCATCCAGAAGCTCGGCTCTGCTTCGCACCCTTTCTGTTTTCAGGGGCTTGAAGTCTTGCGAGCCCGAGGATCCAAGATCTGAGGGTTCGAGTGTAGGATTGAGTTTATATAGGCTGGGGGTTTGAATTGGCGTGGGGTTTCCTACTTTTTAGGGATTCGGAGCCCTACCCCCCTCTAAGGCTCAGAACTCAAGGGTGGGTGCTTTAGCAAAAGGTACGTCCAACATCTTGACGACTTTCACGCTATCAGGGGAAAAACTACTGCTGATGCCTAGGTTCATGTTAGCCCGATATGCTGGCAGACTGTGGGTGATGAATCGTGGCTTTACACCTGCCGCCTCTCCTCCCGGCAACATATCCGGCAGTCGCCAGCATTGAAAAAAAAACAAGCCCTCTTGTTGGCAAAACCCCCGGAACCATATGGTCGAAAGCTCTAGGCAAACTCTACAGTAACCAATCCTGAAACCCATAAACCCCTACCCAAGCCAGGCAGCGGTGCATGATCGCACTCACTCTGCTTTACGTTGCACAGGGCCGGGTGCGAGAATTCCACGTCCTCAGGGCTTTCTCTTCGATGGAGGGCATTCGGGAATATCGGATTCATCATCCAGAATTGTGGATGCCCCGCGTTTAAGGGGTTCGCAAGGGTGTTTCATCCGTCGCTTCCGTGTTGTGACAGCCCCGTCTTTGATTGAAATTTTGGGTTGAACCTCCAGGCTCGAAGTTCGAGCCTGTGGCTTTCGGCTTCCTTCGGAATATAGGCCTGAACGGTTTTGGGCTGCGACAGTTCAAGCATGTCTTGGGGTCACAGTGTCTCAGATGGTTGGGGCCTACGGTGAATATACGCATCTTCCTGTCAAAGGGGTGATACAGGACTACGACTCCCAATCTATTAAGCCTGCTCTGCTTAAGGAGAGAGAGCCTCAACACTGTAGGCTTCTTGCGGCAAGGCTCGATCTTCCTCAGGAACTTGGTTGATGTCGGCGTCGCCAACCTTGGAAAGCAAGAGCATCTGACATTCGTCAAAGATTCAAAAATGTTCGGTCATGCAGGACTCTTCGGAATGATGATGACGATGAGGATGAGGATGAGGATGAGGATGAGGATGAGGATGATGATGATGATGATGGTGATGATGGTGATGAAGAGCGGCGGCGGTGGTGATGATGATCATGATGCTTTCTACTATGACTGCATTCATTCTTACCTTGAACTATATTGCGGCTCTTTGTGCTATTATGCATAACGTCTGTTTGATTTCTGTCCCAAACGAAACTCTCGGTGAGCAAGATCGCGGCAACAGTTGTCTTGCGAAGTCGAAGATGATGATGCTGATGCTGTTGCTGTTGATGGTGCTGGTCAAGGAAAGGAAAGAATGGGGATCGATGGTGGTGACAATGATAACTCGAGATGGTGATGAGAATGATTGCGAAATTGCTGGCATCATGATGACGCCGGCGCTGTTCGGCATGATGACATGAAAAAATGTTGACGGTGGCAGTGATGACGATGACGAGCAGGATGTTGTTGCTGATGATGCTGCCGAGGGGATGGTGATAGATGAAGCTACGTGCTGGATGGTGCTGGCTGCTAGGTGGTGCTGATTGTGGCGGCGGTGGTGTGTTGTGGGTGCTGGTTTCTGGAGGTGTCTTGTGGTGGTTGGCCGCAGATGCGGTGATTGCGCGCGATGAGTAGTCGGTGGTGCCTAGCAGTGGCTGTGATGGATGACCTGGGTGATTGCCGCGGAAGCTACCTGGTCCTCCTCCTCATCCCCTGGCCGTCGCCGTCCTCGCCTTCGTCGTCGCCAAGCCTATAGACTTCTCAATGGAGTGTACGTCGATCTGCCCGCGTTCAAGGCATTCGGCGAACATCGACTCGAGACGGCAGTAAGCTCTGGAGGAACTCGAAACGGAATCTTGCCAGCGGCAACTACACACATCCTGGCGCCGTTTCCGGAGAAAGGGAGGTGGTTTCCGTTCTATTGTGACATTACGGAGCAGCGGAACGCGTCCCTTGCAAGCCTTAGATAAACGGCGGCATCTGTTAGAACGCCTTGCGTTGCGAGGGTGGCCGTCGCCACCTCGCCACCGCCTGTCGACGCTGCTGTGTCCGCCGTCGCTATCGTCGTCTTCGCAGCTACTGACAGCAAGAGTGACGACAGAAAAAGCATTATCCTCACCGCTAACATAAGGTATAAGAACTTGCACAACGAAAAGTGACGGCCTGACAAGATGGCAAATACATGTGCAGGCCTGCAAAAACTGTGCAAAATCGAGATCGAAACCTACTGCTACCAGGAATGATACTCAGATTAAAGGCTTGATTCCCAAAACATCCCATGGACTGACCGCCCTTGGGCCCCAAGACCCTTTAGAGTTAACTGGGTACTGCAGACCATGCATCCTGGTCAAAGCCCTGAGCCTACATGCCGGACCTCTTCAAGACTGGACCTCAGTGCCGAATCCCGCCAACACAACAAATCATGGCCCAGAAACCGCGCCCTAAACAACAAAAACCAGAACGCGGAACCCAAGTCGAGCAGCAAGTTCATGGCCATTCAGGCAGGCCAAGATGTACGCGCGGACATACCAATTGCCTTTGGCAAGTTTCTGAAGCTGCTCCTGCTGCGACTGCATGTCCTGTTTAGGTCTTCGGCGGATTGGCTGAAGAACAGGGTTTGGGCTTTAGATTCTTAGCTTCAGGGCCCAGGGTTTTACGGCGGTTCACTCTCATGCCGGTGGTTCCGGCGCGCTTTTTGCAGACCACAAATTGGGCACCTAGGATCCTAATCTTTCGTGGGGTAGGAGCCACCCTGAACCCTTAACCGCAAATTCCGAAACCCAAACTCCTCCCGGGATTGAGGCTCTAAACTGCTTGGTGTTGGAAGTTGTCTGGAAAGGCTAGAAGAGATGAAACTCTGAAACGGCCTCCATTGGACGACCCGGGACAACCCAAATTCTCTTGGCGGAGCCGCATGCTGCATGAGGAGAGGCAGCAAGAGTAGAAAGAGAACATTGACCATAACTGTGACAGAAATGATCAACAACAAGAGCTGAGTAAAAGCTTTCTGCACAACGCCAAACATGGAACCTAAACCCAAGCGAAAACCACAACCCTAAACCCTGACCTCCAACCTCAAATGTGTTGCAAAGTGGAAACCCTGAACACAGACTGCTTCCAGTCCTCTCGACTTCCCGCCAAGAGCTGCATCACCTGCACTTCCCAGCACGCACGTGAAAGACACGGCATCAGGTTGAGGATTTCAGGGCTTTTCATTTGGAAGGGCAAGGCTTGGAGTTGGGCACTGCTAGCAGTCTGGACTCTGGTTGGAAAATGCATCTTGGGGTTCTCGAGGTCAAGACTGCAGCCGTCAGGGCTTGGGGCTTTGGGCCGCGGGCTGCTCATTGCGAGTCTTTAGGTGGGCACGGGATCTGCTGCGAGACAACGGGTGACCTTCGCGGTTGCCTTACCATGACTCCTCTACTCAGTGGCCAAACCGTCCATCTCTTGAAAGCCCTATGGATCCCTGAACCAAAAACTTCTCACCCGCTGCACACACCTTGGCGTGTTGGGTGTATGGCTTGGGTCTGTTCAGCTTTGGCAGAGCAGCGCATAGTCCTTAAAGTTCGTGGCTTCCGGGAGTCAAGACCAAGAAACCAAACCATCTCAGCCCGAATGGCACCAAGCCGGAACGACTTTCCGAAAACTGTTCGACATGGGAGTTGGCAAAACGCAGGCCTCCCTCAACTTGCTGGTCTTTTGCAAACTCGCCTCCAAAATTCAACCCGCCCCCCTTCCACATGCCTGCGACTTGTATTTATCGCGAGTTTGCTTGCGTGCACGTCTTGCTGGACCTTTGCTCGCTTGGGGTCTGAGAAGCGGCTGAGGATTTACGAAAGCGTAGAAACCCAGATGCCAGAAGGCCACGAAGACATGCTCAAGCTACGCCGTTCCTCGGCCCTGGCTAAGTCCCAGAGCCGCACCGGGCTGAACAGGCAACAGCATCCCCAAACGGGACTCCCAGCCTTTCAGAACCCCCCCTTACCCCACTGCAAGTCTCAAGAAACGGCTCGTGAAATAACTGTAATTAAGCATCAGACCTCGGGGATTGCCACTACTCTGGAGTAGCGTTCATTGCTGAGGGCGTCTATATGCCTGCAGCAAGGCCACCAAACCCAAGCCTCGGCGACTTCCCCGAAACCCTCCAAACCTTCGAGACTTCCAAGCCCCTTGTTACCCTGGAATACTCCAAAACCCTCCAGCAAGTTAAACTCCTGCACCCATCGCACGATAGCCAAAGAGCCATCCTTCCTTGCTGGATGAAGGTGGCAGAACGAACAACCTAGATGCTTTTGTCTTTTGTCGTCTTCATTCGACGGGTAAGGGGGTTTAGGATGACAGAAAACAGCAATTGACAAAAATGGTGATGAGAACAAACATGATGATACAAAAGAATAACAGTAGTTTCAACAACAGAAATAATGGGAATAGTCGGAATAGTAGTAAAAACAATCATAACACTAATACCAATAACTAGTTTAAAACTAATGCTAATAGCAATGATCATATTACAGTATACTAATCAAAAATAAATACCAAACAATAATACTAACAGGAGTAATAATACTAGGAATGGTAATAGTAATCATAATAATAATAATGACAAACAATAATCATAAATAACAAGAAGTAAAAAAATAGTGAATAACAACAATAACACTAATAGTAACCAACTAAAAAACAAAAACGATAAGCAAACCAATACTAAAAGTAACTTTAGTACCAACAATGACAATGACAATAACAATAACAACATCAAGAACCATATGAATAGCCATAACAATAACAATCTCAATAGCGAAATAACAATATCAATAACAATAAGAAACAGTTTTAACAATCATATTCCTGACCAACTTGATGCTTCTCTCAGACCTTTGAAACCGCGGACATAAGGAGACACGGCGAAAAGATGATGTCATGGCTATGTGCAGATTGGTGCTTTCACGCTACGCTGATTCCCTAGGGCTGGCCAGACGCCATCTACAGGTCGGTCATAGGCATAGGGTTCTAGGATGGAGAGGGGACAGGGGTCGTGGATTGGGGCTGCCATGAAGTACACAAAGGGGGGTTACGAATATCACTAAATGGGCCCTCCAGGGTGACTCCTTCTGTCCATACGCAGAGCCCCCAGTTCAAGTCTCCAAAAGCTGTAAGTCATGGCCACAAGTCGTTTGCTTAATTGAATCCCAAGCATGGCAAGGGGTGCCTAGGCTGTGGGGAGCGCTGTAAGCTTTAGAGAGTGCCAGGCATTGGGTTCGCAGTTTAGGAATGAAGGTTCGGTTGCTAGGGTCAAGGATATCCAAAATGCTTTTTGCCCAAACTTCAACTCCTTACCTTAACCCTGGATCAAACCCCTAAGGCCGGAGCCGAAAGCCCCGGCGGTGAATCTTGAAGCTGCGAACGAGGAGCTCTCGTGTTTGTGGCACCCCGCGGAGCTCGCAAAGAATATGCAAGGGTTGCCTGGGAGAAGCGGCAAACTGAACGGAAGGGTGCTCAAAAAAGAGATGTTAAACTGGTGAATATCCGTTCGTTAAAACACTCTTCCCCTGACCGATTGGGATTCTTGGGTTAAGGCTTTGGGAGGTGAAGATGCAAGGCCTTAGGGCCAACGGCTTAAATGCTTGCAGCTAGGCTGCTAAAGTTTGAGGCTTAGGGCTTGGGTCGGGTCTGGGGTGGAAATGTTCTCGTGCTTGGGCCGTCTTCAAGGTTTAGTGTAGTATGCTCTGTCGTACCATGCCATAGTATCCCTTGTGACATTATACTCTACTGACTACTGCAGCACAACATGCTCTGGTAGAAAACATTATCACACATCACCGAATGTCATATCTTCATTTGCTGTGTTCCTCATGCAGTCGACCTCCATCGACCATGCCCTAGATAACACACTAAGCTCTGCATCCATACCATATTGCCCTATGTTCTATATGTGCACATATGTCTCTGTAGCACACATGCACACATACACGGTACGCACACAAACATACATGCATACATACACACACATACACACACACATACACATACATGCACACATACATACGCACGCACGTTTATAGACAGACAGACAGACAGACAGACAGACAGACAGACAGGTAGTTCTCTAAATTAGGGTCCCCTTAGGATCCTTTTTATAAGAGTGCCGTACTATGTTGGTGACTTAAAAAGGGACCCTAATCTAGACAACTACACATATACATGTTTATATTTTTCAATTAGTTTTGTAGCTCTGTGTATACTGCACACGACGTCCCGGTTTAGCAATCTTACGGGCTGCTGGACCAGTAACCTCGACACTGAAAAAACAACTTGTTCAGGATACTGTTCTAGAGACGCCAAAGGCAGTTGTGTCGACAGCAACCACGCACACGACTGATCCACATCGATCAGCAACGAGCCCATGATACTGGCAGTAGGAACCAGCACAATCGTCCGTCCCATAAGCCCCAAGTTGCCGGTCAAATAAGTGGCCCTCGAAACACACACACTTGGCCACGGAGCTTCGATGGGATTTGCTTATGTCCCGTGGTCCAATACGGTGAACGGCGCGTCGACGAAACGCAACTCAAAATTCAGAGGTCTTTGAATCAGATAGGCTGTCATCCTGAAAACGTGTCGTTTACAAAAGCGGGAAACAGAAAACAGGCAGGCGGGAAAAAAGTTCAAATCCCAAATGGGTGCGCCATTCGTCGCACCGGCGGTACGAGTCACAGTACCTGCGACGCTAGCAGCCATAACGACACATCATGGCAGAATGCAGCCCTGATTGCAGCTTAGTAACAATACTGGCGCCACTGATAGCAGATAGCATTTGTAACAGTACAATCACATACTCACAAAATGACAAACTGGCTGGAAGCCCACTGCTCCTGGCTGCTTCGACTGGGTTAGACGACCATTCTTCTCGTCATCCCGAACCTTCCAGCAGGTCAAGTCCCTGGAAACGAAACCATGGCCCAGGGCTCAGGGAATCAAGCAGTTCTCAAGCCGCAAAGGTGCATTCACCCGAACTCGAGTGGGTAGTAGAGTTCGTAGACGTAGTAGATGCTGCGAAACTCGGCTCCATCTCCATAGTGGACGAAGACGGCGAATGCGGAACCTGCATCTGGCACTTGAGTGGGATGTCGCGAAACAAGAAAAGTCCAACGACCATGAAAAGCTTAAAGACTCGATTAGCCAGAATAATGTAAGACTCTAACAAACAAGGTCACAATCAAAATGTTCCCGGGCCCGAGTTTCCGGGCGGAAGACTAGTTTAGATTGCGGGCGCAGATCCGGCCAGGGGTGATATTTAAAAAAGAGGTGACAATTAACTTTTGGGGAGCCCGCAACCCCAAAATACTGGTAAAGTATGGGTCCAGGAAAAAAATGTATTTTCAGAGGAGAGGAAAAAGAAGCCTGGACCCTAAACTCAGCTGGCAGAGTGCAATTCTTCAGACATCTCACTGAACTACCAGCTCGCAAAGTGCAGCTCCAGAGACTTCTCAACCCACCCTTCGGCAAGCAGAGCAGATCCGACGTCGCGGAGGACTACAGCAGCTATTCTTGAGGCCTCTGCCTGATAGAACCCCTTATAAACGGAGCCATTTCACAAAGCCGGCAAGGGTATCCCTTAGCAGCCCTGCGGGTAGCAACAATTAAAGGGGTGAAAATATAGTAATAAACTCCCGCTTGAGCAGGCTATTGACAAAGCAAGGTGGGCTAATAGGCTTTGGCATGAAGCCAGGGACTCTGGATTCCAGGAACTGCAGCAGTTATTTTTGAAGCATATTATTGCTACTACTACTACTACTAATAATAATAATAATAGTAATAATAATAATAGTAATAATAATAAATAATAATAATAATAGTACTACTATTGTTGCTGCTACTACTACTAC